TTGAAATAATCTGTGTATATATATCCGTATATTTTTTACAAATACGTAATCATTGCACGATAAACGCAAAGATAAGGAGCGGAAATAATTGACTGAACTTTTTGAATATTTCATTTTTATTTCATACGTTCGGTATCATTAAATAAAGATTCATTCGTAATTAAATGCTAGCACACTATGAGAATAGAAGGGAGAAATAATGTTCGATTTCTTTGTACACTTTAATTTTTAATTAAGATGTGTGTGACGTATATAAAAGAGTGAAGAACAACATAATTCAATGTGTCTCGTGCTCTGTTTTTAGCCACATTCGCATTATGGCATATTTGTTCCCTTTTCTCGTCCTCGGGAACCAGATACACGTTATCATCGTCATCATTCACAAACAAAATGTTCATGCACTTTAACGAAAGCTTAATCGCTATCATCCAGCATTTTTAAGAATAAAACAAATTAAGAAAAGGGTGAATTAGGAAAAATTTAAAGCTGTGAGATATAACATAGATTTGCAAACGAACTCGTAATATATAATTCCAGGCGCTATCTGTGTGTCACAAGCATTAATTAACGGTAGGTGGACAAATTAAATTACCGGCGGGAAGTTTGAAAAAGAAAAAAAAAAAAAAAAAGAAATAAAATACCAAAAAAAGATATGATGATGAGTTTAAGAATTTGTAAAAATGGTAAAGTACCGCGTCGTCGAAGCCAAAGGGTTGAAAACGAAGACGTCAGTTACCATTTAAAATCACGTGCCAAATCTGCCAACAAAGTTCGTCGCGACAACGTCGTTTTTTGTACGACGGAAGTAGAGGAACATCAATTATTTTCTTAAGAACAGCCTGTTAACGTGTTACTCCTTTTCCTTTCGTTCTTTTCTCATCGCATATAATTTATAATTTTTATCACCATCAATCGCTACGACGATAATCAATTCATTCCTTTCATGCCATTCAAAGCACATTGTTATTCAATTCGTTTAATTTTAAAATTTCATTTGACGATAAATTTCTAAAAATCATAATCAAACAGACTCGTTTAATTCCAATTAATTAATAATCACATCAGAAATTAAATTCATTTACTCCCGAACTGATAATTATATTATATATCGATAATTGATTTTCATCGAAAATTCATACGATCCTCTACCTAATCGTGTTTCTAATATTGTCATGGAAGATTAAACACGTAAATTCTATTGTGAATCAATAATTAAGAGTTAAAATAAAAGGGTAAATTGAAAGGAAAAACACGAACACGAGATACGATTGGCGTAATCTGCACGTAAATTCTGACGACAGATCGATTTAAATCTACGAGGTGGACAGTTTCGACGATTTCGGGATCATTTATCACGATACGTAACAGTTATCGCTTTGTGAAGAACATACGACATTTTCGTTAAGGAGATTCCCTTAATGAAGATCCATTAGCTTGCTTAAAGTAATTTATATGATGGTAATTTGGTCGTTAATCCTTCGAAGATTGTATAACTGTCGATTGTTTCTGTCTGTGGATTTACGCGTATAATGATTTAACACGATCGGAAGAATAATTTGTTCGCGAAGAGTGACGATACTATTCAACCCTTTGTTCTCGAATTATTTGAAATCGGCTCTGTTATTTTTATTTTATAGACGCGAGTGATGACGAATGATGGCGAAGATTATTAAATTGATTAATGTACATATCAAATACCTCCTTCTTTATTTAATTAAGTGCTGAATACTTGTGCGAAATATCTTTTGCATTAAAAAATAATGAATTCATTGGTTGAGAAATATTAACCCTTTGCGTTCACCAACAACTCGGGAAAGTTCCGCTGGCATAAATATTTTATCCTCTGATTTTCTGTTGTTGTTAATTATAACATAGTCGAATATTTTTCGTATTACGCCCATTTTATTTTGCACCTTCCCACAAATGCATAAAAATCCGCAGTCCAGTGAATATTCTTTAAAAGCTGAATGAAAATGAAACATTGCGAAATGTGCACGAATAAACCTAGCAAATAGCAAACACCCTCTGATTATCAAGTTGTCATCAGAGCGCAAAAGGTTAACAATCTACGAACAGCCAAAGATATAAGAAAAATGAGAGGCTCGAATGTTGACGTGGTATATTTTTTTTTTAAAAACATCGAATAACAAATTCACAAACTGATGGTGTCAGTAAGGTCGAGTACAAAGGGTCCGAAAACGTGAATGTTCACACGGGAACTCTCTCGAACAATGGAGGAAGAGGGATAATTTACAATTGCACACACAACATTCTCGCAGCCATCGTGAATTTCACGAAAAACTTCCACTTACACGTACGATATAAATCCTCTTTCCATCGCACTCCGGGGCACTTTGAGATACTCCTCCACTCGCGACATTTTCATCACTTTCATTTCATTCGTTCTCGCCGATAATTTTCAAAAGTCACGCAACAGAATTGGCCAAATTAATTGTTCACGCTCCTAATTCCTCTCTATATTTCTCCAACCCCTCGTGCTATGATTTTTTTTTTCTCTCTCTCAATTATTGTAATCTGTGTCGAACGTAAAATACCGAAACGCTGTGCATAAATATATGTATATATGTATATATATAATTTGTACTTATTAATTTTCAATTTCAAAATTCGAATTCGAGCAGCATGAGATCGCGATCTTCCTTTTCACACGAAAAATCGAAACCGCGAGGGTGGCTTGATGCGAGACAAGGGGTTAATCATCCTAAACACGCACTAATTAACACAACAAGTTTCCAAAGTTCGTTGGTTCACATCGTTGCGTTTGGAATTGCCTCCGCTTCGTTGAAAATGCAGAGAATGTCGGTGTTGGAAAAGTATGCGATTCCAAATACGCGATTAGAACGATTTCACTTTCACGAACGACTGTGATGATTACGATTGTATTGTAATTAATAATCGGGTCGACACGATGCTGTTGATAATGTTTCGAAAAAATAATTGAAATCAAAACGAGGGATATCGACAAGTATAATTTTATCCGACAAGCAGATATCGATTTTCTGAACTTTTGATGTCAAAGATCGAAGCCTCTGCCTTACAACCTGAAACAACTTGAAACTCGCTGTGCAATTCTGCCATTTTCTTAGAAAAGTTTGAACTGGTTTAGAAGATTTCTTAAACGTTTGTCGCGTAGTTCGAATGCTCAAGGTGCAATAAGACGACGGGGGGGGGGAGGGGAAATCGTGTATCGAGTTTTAAGAGATCGATGTAAAGGGAAGACTTCAATCTTCAACATCATGGTAGATCTAGTGAACAAATTTTCAGCCATCTTTTAGGCGTTATTTTTTACAGTTTACGACGATGAAACTATCCTTGCTTGTCACAACTTTGGAGAAAATTATTGTACGATTTTGTTCAGTTTAGTGGCAATTTTTCATCAATTGTGCGAACATATTTCTGTAGATATCAAACAAGTCTCGATATCTTTCATTTTTGACATTATGTTTGCCCGTATATTCAATTAGAATTTGTAGAAATATTCTTATCGATAATATTGATTCGATATCGATCCAATCATTAATTAATTAATCGTACTCTCTCTCTCTCTCTCTCTCTCTTTCTCATTCTCTCATTCTCTCCATCCACGTAAATTCGTTTCATTCTAGTCAAAAAGTTTCACACAGAATTTCTTCTCACGGTGAATCACTATAATCACTCATTGATAACAGGATCGACAGGATCATACAAATAATGGAACACACGACGATTAAATTTCATCCGCGATTGTTTCCTCTCTGTCGTAAATTGTCTCCTCCGTGTTGAGTCGTAATATCTTTGTACAACAGACGAGAAATTACATCTATTATT